GCAGTGCTTCGCGGTCCCGGCAGCAAGGGTCAACCATAGGGAGCCACAGGGGCTTTCAGCGAGCCTGAAAGCTTAAGGTGAGGCGACTGGAGATGGATGGACGGTACTTTGCACGCGTTGATACCCCAAACAAGGGTGTCTTCTTCCAGAACTTATTGCTTGCTGGAGGGCAGCCGGGTGGACAGTCCCTCGCAGCCCTGAGAGCACCTACCTAGTGTACTGTGTCCCTGGCAGATGCCCAGATGAAAAAGCCCACTGGAGGTCAAGGCCGGGCCCGCTGGAGCTAAGGTAGAGCTGGAATTGGAGCTGTTGCTAAAAAAGTCTCCCGCGTACCGCATTCCACAACCCATACCTTGCCTTACCCAAGATACGGGCCTAGTGCACCAAGCAGTCGCCTTAGTCCTCGACCCCATGAACTCAGCCTCCCCCTTCCATTACCCATTACCCAGACACTCCGAATCTCTGGCTGCTTTCCAGGTCCCCTCCCCCCTTGGCAGCATGAGCAGCACGGGTCCGAGTCCCACTCTCCCGTCGGGCTCTTGTTCATGTCCACGATGACCATGGCCCCCGGGCTGCCATGTTTCTCCCATTTCCCGTCGCTCCCTCTCCCTGCCCATTCGGGCAGAAACACCCAAATTCATGGTCCTTGCAACATGGACTTGGGCTCTCGGGCTGAGAATCTTAGATGAGCTTCCCGTCCGTCCGAGTCGAGTCCGCGTTTGTGTATCCGTATTCCGTGAAGCCCCGGCGCAATGCGGCCGCCCTTGCCTTGCTTGCTTACTCACCTTATTCGTACCTGCCTGGTACAAAAGTAGCCCGGTTGTTAAGGAGAATTTATACATCCTGTTAATAACAACAAGTAAAGTCGAATCATGGGATTCTGATTCAACAACTGCTTCTCAAGTCCATCACCCCTTCCCTCACGCACGCATTCCCTGCGCAGCCAAATTCTGTCTCTGGCACAGGCGCTCGGTTGGGGGATTGTTAAGCTTTGCCTTTCACACATCTTGGCACTGACTGTGTTGGATCTTTCCTTGCCAAACCTGATTCCCGCCTTTGGTCATTGGTGCTTCTTTCCCCGGGTGCAGTGCACCTTTCTTTTATTTCATAGATGTGACTGCTACCTGGCTCGACGAAAAGGCAAAGAAAGGATAGCAACCAACCCGAACATGTATTTTCCACCGTGGACTTCGGTATCATAGCTTCGGCATGTACGCGTTGCGAACCTGCAACCTCTGCGACAATGAGCCGGCCTGCCAGACGAGACCGAGAACTAGCAGCGATCAACCTTTTGCAGCTCCAGCAATTTGTTTCCATGACACCGTCCGACGGCCCTCACAAACGATCCCATCCTTGCAGCGTTCCGCCACTCCTCGGCATCTCCCTTCCACGTCCCCGTCTCTGTTCGCAACCAGATCCCGAGTGTCACATCTCAACTATAACACCATGATCATCAGGGTCCCACCCCGAATTGGCCTCTCAAGAACCCTTTCTCGGATGGTCTGCTTTGTTACCCGCACCAGAGACAGCCCTCCCTGAGACCACACCGCATTCATCTGAAGCCTTCCCCAGCATGCTGACCCAAAGTCAACGTTTTCTGGCCTCACTGGAAAGTCAATCAGCCCGTCGTCGCACGCTACAGCAGCTGTGTACGCTTTTGCATCGCCTTCTACAAATCCCACGGCCTTCCGGCACGGAACATGCAGAAGACGCAGTCCCGTAGATGTGTCAAGGACATGCAGAGTTTCCCCCGTGTCACACTCCAGTACGCAGCTGCCGTCCATCGCGCTGTGTTTAGGAAAGCAACTGACAGCATGCCCACTGTGGATAACTACACAACGCCCGAACTCTCCGTCTGCTCTTCCATCCCACTGCCTAAACGACGCCAAGAAAATTCTCCTAGGCTCCCCGCGTGGCACGGCCATCTTGGAGTGAGACTCAGTATCTGGGGCAGATCAGCTGAGTCAAAAACAAGCCGTGTCGATGCAAGACACTCTTTTCCTTTTGCTTCACCCACTCACGCACCCGTCACCGCCTTCCGCCTTTTTGCTCCGTATAGCACTTCCCAAGAGCAGAGAAGATGTCGCCGAGCAAGACTGCCATGGCCCAACTCATGACTCTGCGAAGAAACTTTGGCAGCTTGGGGCCACTGGTGGACAAGACGCGTCAGACGTACAACTACACATGGGAGAAAAAAAAACCAAGCCACCGTGTTCAGGCAAGGCGAGCCTTTTGATGAAACGACAACTCGAGGCAAATCCTTCGGTATCCAGGCTGGATAAGCCTGTCGGTTTTCCAACCAACTATCAAGCACACCAAGCAGGATTCTTGATCGGACGGGCCCGTCACCCGGCTAAGATAGGTCAACCCACCACTTCCGCTTCACCGGCTCGACGCCTACTTGTTCTCTCGTCCAGTAAGCACCCGGTCTCTAACCATAGGCTACGGGCGACAGCCACGGCACCTAAGGTTTGGGCGACCAAGACGTGAAGCGGTCGGGGCGATGATTTGCACGGGCGCTCTGGAGAGTCATCACCCGAAATTCCAAGACTTGAAATTTCCCAGTCAGAAGGGGCGCAGAACCACGCTGCCTTACAAATACTTCACCTGATCCTTCACGTCGCTCGGGACGTCCCATCCCATGCCCCCCCTCTCAAGCAATACGCCGTACACAATCGAAGCGACCAGATGGATCTCACCCGCACGATCGACGCAGAACGGCAGAGAAGATGACAGACTCCGCCAGGTGTGGATAGGAACGGTCGTGAAGGCGGCGGGGAGGCGTGTATGCCACAGTAGATGGAGGCCGGCTACGTCAGTCTACCAAAAGCATGTGTATGTCTGCCTGCCAGTCGGCCTGCACCAAGGACGACCGACGTACAACATGGACGGAGAGTGCGTCAGGTCCATGTCGTGCAGCGCGGTTTCCTTGCTATCCTCTCACCGTACCACCGTACCGACTGACTGAGTGCCTGACTCTGCCCCGCGGCCGGCACCGAAGTGGCTCTCGGGTCTGGGCCTTCCCCTCCATCTGAATGCTGTCATGGCAGTGGAGAGCCGGCCGCTACCAGCCGACAAAGGAGGGCGAGCTGAGGGGACACTGGACGTGGATGGTGGTGGTCCAGGCAGTCCTCAGGCAATCCGCTGTCCAATTGGCGCCGGGCCTTGGAGATCGGGCGGAGTCTGATTTTCTGCCCCAGCAATCTCACCCCACCGCTCCGCTTCATCCCGGCCCATTCAATGACGACCATTCGACGGACACAACCCAGGCAATGCCGCTTTTTCGATGCTCCCATTCTCCAGCAGAAAACGAATTCCAATCCCCCATCTTCCAGGCAAGACGTCACATGACTGCCCCGCGACGTCCGATCCCACATTCAACATCCAGTCCTGCGGTGGACATTGGTTCAAGACTCCAAAGTCCAAAGCCACCACCACCACCACCACCACCACATGCCCACCTCAACTCGCCGGCTGTGTGCACCTTCATCCCTCCCATCCCGCTCCCCCCACGACACATCCTGAGCGACGTGGCAGCGAACCCTTAGTGCTCCCCCCCTCCTCCCCAGTTCTCCTCCATATCGACGTGTGCCCAGGCAGCGATGCCCACCCTCCCATTAAGCCCTTCCGTTGAGGTATTGCGGGCGATGCGTGCTCAGCTGATCGAGTTGCCGGTAGACTTTTTGAGGTCCCCCCTTTTCTGATTCGTCGCCTGTTGACTCCCCCATAATGTCGCAAAGAGTAAACTCACCGCTGTGCTTACTGTGGTAGGCAGGGTGACCAGCTCGTCAGCGGCTCTGCAAGTGGACGATACTTTCTGCATTTCTTCGGCGGATTAAGCTTGCAGAAGTGCACGTTGGAGGCCGCTCGTGACATGTCGTAGTGCTTGTGTGATTCGCGGGAAAGTGTACCATTTGCAAAGTTCAGGAACTTTGGGGCTCAGTAACCCAGGCACCATGGGCGAACAGACCTCTCCAGATGAAGAAAAGGGTTTTGCTGTTCAGGCGGATACCTCTGGCTATGATGACAGGACAATGGCAAAGTAACAAACACGACGATGATGAGCATATACTATGTAATGGCAAGGGGGGCAAAGGAATAATAATTAGAATAGCTTCTACGAAGTCGTCCGCCCGCGAGCAAAATCCAATAAAAGCCTCAGCATCCCAAGACTCGGGTCATGTGCATATACGGAGGTCAGAATCGCTTGCACCGGAATTAGGTGCGTGTCGCAATGCAAGGCACGCAGGCACTAGAGAATCAATAGGCATTGTCGAACAAATCGAGAAAAATGTTCCTTGACTTTCTTTCTCTCTCCCACGTTCAACTACCTTAGTATATATCGCGCGCAAAAGAAAAACGGAGGCCACTTGCATTTGTCTCATACCACAGGAACTCAACTCAAGACACGTCAAAATCAGTCAAAAGAAGCAAGCAAGCAGGAAAAAAGTCGCATCGTCGTTTCCGATGTTGGGTTTCGTGATTAGAAATATAAACACTGGTTGCCCACATCCAGCCGAACCCTCAGAACGCCAGTCGGAAAAGAAACCCATGGGTAGTGGTGTGTGTGTTTGTGTGTCTCGTTGCGTAGTGGATGTAATACGGCTAATCTTTTGATCTCTTTGGCCAAAAAACAAGACCCAGTCCCAACGTCAAAAGATCTTGTGTGTTCTCTCCCCCCCCCCCCCCACCATTTCTAAACGCCTCAAGCCCAGCAAAAAAAGATGACAAGTTGTCATGTTGAGAAAAGAAGACTAGGGGACGCTATAGAGACGCGTGGGTAGTTAAAGGATAAGGGTGAATAGTAAAAGGAAAAGCTGCTGGAAGAGACGCCGGGGCGCCAGATAGAATGGGCGGGTAATCGTGACGGTCGGGGGAGAAAAGGGGGGAAAATAAACAAGGTAGGTATACAAATACAATTTCGTAAAAACACAGCTTCGTCACTCGCGTACAATCCCGCTCTCTCGTCCGCAACGGAGAGTAAGAAGTAAAAATGTGGTTCAACGCCTTCTCGACGACCGGGCGCTCGTGCGCTTGCGCACCTTGCTGTTGGACTTGGCTTTACTGACGATCGTATCGGCAGTGATCTCGCCAGGGACGGTCGGCGAAGCAGTAATAGTGCTGTCCTCGACGTCGAACGCGAGACCCTCAAGCTCTTGCTCGTCCATGTCCGTCAAGTCCTCACTAAGACTGCGGAGAGCTTCGCGGCCAGCCCACTGCTCTTCAACAATGGTAGTACCCTTCGGCTTGAACTCCTTGAAGTACCATGGCACGCCGCCCTCGGAGAGCGGGTCTGTCGACTCGTTGCCGAGACTGCCGTTGGACTGCGGTGGTGTCGGGGGCGCGGGTTGTGATGGCCTAGCGATGGAGACGTAGCCGTTGGTTTCTGGGGGTGTGTCGGATGGTGGCGGAACAATCGTTGGCACGATGGTCTCCGGTTTGTCTGCCGCCTTTCCGTTACCCTCATGACCTGCTACTGATGAGTTGGATGAGTGCACGTCGTTTGGCTTTTCCAGAGTCGACGTGTTGACTTCGATATTGCCCTCATCGTCGTCTTCGCCTTCAGCATCTACATCCATCTCATCATCGTCTGGAGGTCTCATGATGTCTTCTTCCTCCTTGGCCTTCGCAACGCTCTCTTCACTAGCCACTGTGATCTGCAGATCTTCTGGCCCCTGCTGCTTTTGTTCAGGTCCAGGCTCAGGCTTAGGTACCGCTGCTGGTACCGATTCGTCGGTAGCGTCCACCATAATGGTGTCCGGGCTAGGTTCTGTGCTCTCTTCTGCGCGCGAGACAGTAATTGATGGCTGACGGAACTCGATACTGGCTTCCAACATGCCCTCAAGTTCTTTCGTCAAGGTGTCCAGTGGTTTGTGTGTGATATCAGCTTCCGTCCTGAGGGCCGCCTCCAGCCGTGGCTGCACATCCTTCAGTATTCGTTTTCCAAGCGCCTTCCTTTGCCTTGGATCATGGAAGTTCTGTTTCACGGGCGAAAGTGGTTCCTCCTCGAGGGCAGGAGGTTCGGTATTGATGCCCACGTTGATCACTTCACACAGGTCGTGTGTGAACACCAATGTGTTGGTGTAGAAGCGCTGCTCCAGTTTGTCCTGGAGTTCCAACAAACCTTCCTTGAAAATATTCTTGTCGAGACTGCATTCTTGGTTAGTAAGAGATTCCACGGTGGCCTCGGATTGCACTTACAACATGGCTCTCTCGACCACAGGAACAAGCTGCTTCGCAATCGGAAAGTAGCAAGTATCCACAAATTCTTGCTCGAGCTCTGCAGCCTCGAGCTTCTCTTGCTCCCTCTGAACGACGTTCTCCGAAAGAGTCTTGAGTTCCCAAAGGTCCTTTAGCAATGTCTCGGCGAATTCGATTCGCCTGGCAAGCCTGGTCTTGCCCGAAGGTCCCATCTGTGCAAAGTTCCGTCTCGTCAGCTCCATTGACGAGAATGTCTCCATCTGCAATTGCAGACGCTTGAGCAAGGCAGCGCCACGACGAGCTTCGCGCTTCAGTGTCCAGTAGCGGCAAGCTTCGCTTACGAAATCTTTGCGCTTGCGGAAGGGGAATCTCGACAGCGCTTGCTCGACAATATCAAAGACCGCTTGAGGGATGATGGGTGCACCCGATGGCAGCTTCCAAATCTGCTTCGCAGGTTGCCCCTTCTTCTTGTCCCCTCCAGCAACGTAGGACGCGAATTTGGCGCCAGTCATTTGGCTCTCGTCTGGGGGATGCTCCGTCAATGCGTGACGATGGTTGGCAGCCAGAGTATGAGCTGCTGCCTGACTGTCCGCCCATATCCGTCCCTTCATGGCTCGCTTGTAGAACTTCTTAGCTTCCCGCGCTGCCTGTGCGACTCCGTTGTCTTTGGTGTAATCAGGGGGGCAGTGCTTGTCGCAGAATGCCTTGAGGACCATGCTGTTATCAAGAACCGCAAGAGCTCCGTGACTGTTTTTCATCTTAAGGAAAAGTCGTGACCGCCTGGCGCATGTGACGTGGAACGCTTGGTAGCAAGATTTGTTACTGCATTGTATGCAAGCACCCATCTTCTGATTGCATATGTAGCAATTCAACTTCCAGCGCGTCTTTGGCACCTTTTCCACATCCATGACAGGTTCCATGAAGGTGGCGTTGCCTAAGGACACCTCTGGAATCCACATGGCGCAAAGCAGGTGAGCCCATTTACTAGAGTTAGTCTGCTTGAAAGCACCGTCGGTGTTGGGACAAAATATGCAAGTCTATACACGGATTAGCGTCTTTGCAAGTCTCGAGAGCGGAAAATATGACTGACCGGAACACCGCGCCCAATAAGCTGGCACTTCCGACATAACCATTGTCCCTCGGGAATGAAGGGTACGCCGTAGCATTCTTGGTGAACCGCAAGGTCGCATCCATCGCAGAACACAATGGCATTGGTGTTTTCACAGTCACCATCGTCGCATATCGCACACTTGCTATCCTGCTCTTCTCCGACTTGAGGCTCGCCATTAACGGCCGCAGCTGAACTAGAGCGCGGACGATGCGTCTGCGGAGGTTTTGGGTTAGGTTTCGGTATTCGCTTTTCCAAGGCATGCCACTCCTTCTCAATCTTGGTGATGGCAATCTCAAATACTTCGCGGGTAATGATCTCGAGGTCTTGAGCCTTGCGATGGTCTCGGTTGTACACCTCGAGCCACTGGTCATCTTGTTCGTCCATGTCGTATTCAACACGGCCAACATTGGTGCCACCAGTCGGGATGACTTCGCCATCGGGCTTGATTGCCGACTGCTCGTCTTCTTCCAGATTTGGTTCTGCGGCCTTGATGAGCCTGCCATCGGGGCGAATGTATCGATCGGTTTCTTGGTAGCCAACATTCATCATCGACTTGTCGACATAGCGCGCCTGGCCAAAGCTCTTGCTTTCAAATTGTTCGACCTGGTCTGATCTTCGGTATGAGGGCGCCTTCAAGTCTAGGCGCTCCTTTGGTGTTTGGTTCCGGATCGGGAGGACTTGCGGTACCTTCGGGGTCGACACTGGCGCTAAATCTCGGCTGAGAAAAGACACGGATTCGCGAGGCGGTCTGGTTCGTCGTTTCTGCGGAGTTTCGGCCCCATTGGCGAGCGCAAAGTATGAGTTCGTTTGCGGAGCTGGGGTATTGCCTGTCGAAGCTGGGTTCATCTCCTTCAAGGGCGTGCTGGATCCGTTCATCGGGGTAGAGGGCCGGGCAATACTCGGGGTGCCGGGAGGCGACTTTACAACTGGTAGAGGCAGGCCATCAACCTCCTCGGAGCGAAAGACCATAAAGGTGGCATCAATATCGAGCTTGGGGTGGAACTCCTCCCAGCCGCGCTCCTCTCGGGGCTTGTATCCCTCGTTCTCGGCAACGGCGGCGGCAACGGCAGCCGCAGAGCTGAATTCCATCTCGTCTCGATCGGCGGCGGTTCGTATTCTGGCACTTCGCTCTCTTCTAGGGACCAGTGCGGATACGCTGCGCGGCTCCCTTGGCTGTCTTCGCACTGTGATGGGTGTTTCGGTTCCATCATCATCGATGAAACGACCACCGCCGCCGGCGCCGCCAGGAATGTATCGCCTCCTTTTGGGTGGTGGTTCGGTCATGGGGACTGCGGATGGAGTGGTGAGCTCGCGCGAAGGTCGGCTGGAGGGAGCTGCGGGGGAAGCGCCGAGCTCGCGCGCAATGCGAGCAGCGTTGGTGGTTCCGGGGGGTCTTCCTCTTTTTCTACCAGTAGGTGGACGGCGCGGAGTAGAAGGTTTCGGCGCCATCTCTTGCGATTCTTATCCCTTCTTTTAGATCGATTTCGATGGCTCGCGGAGGGGAAGTGTGTCGAGAATCACCGCGTCAGGAGGTGGCGCGCGGAGTGGTTTTGCGGCTGAAGGAAGGGGCGGGGCATTGGCGAAACGGTTCCGCGCACGATTCTCCGGCACGCAACAGGGTTACAGTGCGGTCAATAAGGTGATGCTGAGGTGAGATCGAGTTTGAAAAATCATCAGGAGAGGAGGTGACGTCGAACTGGCGGCTCAGAGTTACTCCTGCGAAAAACAGAGAACGCGTGAAGTTGAAACGCACGGACCCGACAGCCATTGTTAGCCGCAGGGGGCACGCGCCATTAGTCATCCGCGGGTATCAGACAAGGGCCGCTGTTAGTGGTTGGGGTTCGCTTCACCCTTTGGGGGGCAGCCGCACCCGCATCCACCTCCGCACTAGCACTTGCTTCTGGCCATCGTGATTGGCCTGCTGCCCGACACTTTATCAGATTGACTTGATCCTGGGCGGGCCACTGTTCCTGGTCCCGTCGCTCCAAACCCGGCGCAGCCACTCTGCCTTCACAGTCTTTTCGACGCTTTACACCAAGGACCATCCCATCGCCTCCAATTCCTCGGCGCTGGCTCCGCCAGAGTCAGTGCGACAATTCGTCGTTCATCTCGCCTCGACCGGCTCGTCATTCACCTAACCCATGTATCGCTGCGATCGGCCGTCGCAACCATTGCCGCAGCTGCTTGGTAGTGGTTACTTGCCTACCTATACAAGTGTATTCGAGCGCATCTCACCACAACACATTTCCGAAAACAGCACTCTGTTCTGCACGCTCACGCTCACGGTTAACAAGACACCAGTCATTGTGGAACGTATACATGAAAAAGAGTCCCATCTCCGTCTTGTTCATCAACATCCAAGTCCAGACTAGACCGTCGCATAACCTGTCGAGATCCAATTCAATACTCTGCAGCTCTGCGACCCAATCAAATGTGCGGCGCATGCCAGCGCATACTCCTCCCTCACGAGCGCCCTCATTCTTCAAAGTTGCGACCGACGTTGATGTCACCGCATCTTTAGCTACCCCGGGATCCCTCCCCACAATTCCGGGTCCCTTCCCGAGGCGGCCAAGCGGCGGCCAATGTGCCTTGCCGCCCCTCCTCGATCGGCCACCACTAACCCACCACCACATGGCCTCCCTGTTTGACACACGCCGTTATTCAGGGTCCGACGTCAGCTCGGTGTTGTCTTGTCACAAAGCTCTGATTGAATTGGCTTTGGCAGATCTCGCAGGCGACACTCACTCCCCCAGTCCGCCGCCCCTCGGACATTTTATTCGTGATCAGCCGGATTTCAACCTTAAACTCGGCCCTCGACCGGATTCCGTCAACACGGTGTTTCCGCACACCGCTACTTGGGTTTGACCAAGCGACATGCTCCTCCTGTCTTCGTCCATTCATTATTTGCGACTGTTTGTGGGCTGGAGTTCCGCCCTCATCGTCGCCCCCAATCCGACCGACGATTCCACCCAACACCGAAAAGCACCGCAAACCACCAGCGCTGACAACCGCCGACCAATCCAGCGAAGTTGCTTGTTCGAGTGGGTGTCCAACTATGCCTTCTCAATTCTTCGCATGTCCCGCTTCGCTCGTCTCACTCTTGTCGTTTAATCACGAGCGAATGCGACTGTCACCAACTTGAGCATGGTATTCTACGGTCGAGCAAATTCAACACCCTAACCGAGAGGCACATTTCATTCGAAATTTCACAACCCCATTCACCCGCGAAACAGCTGATCGTTCTGAATGCAATAATCTCTTGCCTTAATTTCACACTCATTCTGATTAAATCAGTTCAAACGATTCATCGCCACGATCCTACGCTCCTTCACCGCTTCAGCAGCTTGACCTAGCGCAGTTCTATTTCTCATGCAAATTATTTCGATAATATCCAAACTCTTTATTTCAAGTGATCTTCAGAGCGACTCAAAATCCACCGTCAAGGTCGGCGAGTCGGTCTGGCCGGGTCGGTGGTGGGGAATTCTCCGTCAGTTTTGCACCTGTGGAACCCCAATACATCATCGAATCGCTGCTGTCGGTTCATCTCACCCTCGCTCTCCCAACCATTCGCTGGTCAGACTCGGGAGTGAATCTCCCCGCTGCCATCACTGGAGAAGTGCCATTCGTCATGAATTCTATGAGTTTGTCACGTCAAACGCCATGCGATCGGGCTGTGGTTTCAGACGAGCTGGTCCGATGCCTGGGCAAAAGAGTAAGGAATACTTTAGCCCCATAACCTGGGCAGAAGAATGTTCTATTCGCATGATGCAGCTTGATCGAAAGAATGCGGTCTTTCCAGCCGGGAAGCCGAAGGGGGGGTTCTGTCTTTCGCAACCACGTCAAACAATGCTAAAGGCAGGATGCGTTGTCGATTCTGCAGTCGTCTTCAATGGGAAACTCATGCGCCACGAACGAAATATTTGGGAGCGATTGCAGTATTCTAGCAACATTTCACGAATCCGAAGTGATCGTATTCTCAGAGCGGCAGGCGATTGCCGCCCTCTTGGCGGCCGTGGACTTTCGGGGTTATACCGATCCCGAAATCCCCAGCACAGTCCAGACGTCCGCATGTTCATTAACGTTCATATTTCTCGCTTGCTAACATCATACACAAGCGAAAAGCTAAGTCGCACTCAGCTAATTTGGTCTCGGACATGGGCTGGTGTTTCCTTTTTAGTGGCGAGACGACCGCACCCATGGAAACGCAATGGCAAGTTTCTTCTTACGGGACGGCGGGCTTAACTGCTGGAAATGCTTGTCTTATTCAGGCTCGGCAGGCTCTGTCATCCGGGGTCCGCTTGCAGCAGGAGAAAGTCGGGTAGGTCTTCATGTCCTCTGATCCAATGAGCTGCGGTGATTTTTCTGCAGTTGAAGTCTATCGGATTGCATGGCAAGTAACCAGATTCCCATGCGAAAACGTTCAATCGTCCGATCCTCCTATCCAAATCGTAGGGCAAACGCAAGCCTCGCAGCTGTGACTCATGATTAAGACCAATTTTTCTGCACGTAAGGTATCGTACTTGAGAGTATATATTTCGATCGTGCCAGGCGGCTGTGATTTCAATTCAGCAAATGATCGTCCAGCCGATCTGTCCAGTAGAAGTACAGATTATCCTGCTAAGAACAACCCGTCGTGAGATAACTGGCCTTGGTGCTGTCGACGTTTAGACTGATTGTTAATCGAATGTAGACTGTCTATCATGTTATGGTCTATTTCATCTGTGGTCGGTGGTGTATTCGGGAGGTGATTCTATTGATGTATGACGACTGATAGAGCTGATCGCACTCGGTGAGCTTGTTCTGGGCCAGCATCATCGCAACGGTTTCATTGGCTCTGTCCTTCCTTCGCTGAATTATCAAGATGGACCTCAGTTGCTCCTTTCTACAAGCGGAAATATGTGACGATTTTATAGCATCATATTTCGAAGTCTCTTCTAGCTTTCTGAAATGTAAATGACACTATCGATTGGGTTAGCTGTCATTAGTGGCATGGGACAATCTGAACTCAGCGCGACGATGTCTCCTGGTATAACCCGGAGATCTGACTTTTCCGTTCTCGGACCAGGATGAATCGACACATGCTATCCCGTGCAGCGCAAAATTGCTGCGTGTTCCATAGACTGACGCAGTCGGGGTCTGGCTTCTCCTCATTCATTTTATTTGAAGTCATCGATAACTCTTGTACGTACTCTGCAGGGTCGGTCAAATTATTCGGCGAAGCTTGAGCACTCGCCAACCCGGACTGCATTGTAGCTTGTTATACGTGTTCAATATTATTCCATACCGCACTATCTAGCGATTCCGGCGTGATGTCTCTTGCTATATATTCTCACGCAAGATAGCTTTGGGGATGGTGATTTCACCACACACAACGACAGATGCGCCATGGGTATAGTCTGTTTTGTATTTCCGCTGTGATTATCATCCATCGTTGTGAGTGAGAAATGCTAGTATTAGTATGAAAATAAATCAGATCTAGAATGAATAGCCATGAAATACTCACAACAGGTTGGATAATGACAACAGGGAGGTCAAGCCTCTGTCTAATGTCCATGAGCCCTGACAAACAGCCAGTCTTTCCCCATTTTCAAACCTCGCGTCAGTACTGTATGTACCTAGAGCCTGAAAACTTCAACTCCCATAGGCGATAGCGAATAATTGCCGGATGTATCGTTTGACAGTGAGACTTAAGTTTAGAACGAGACTCTCCCCAGCTACCCTATCTATATTTTCTAGAAACGCACCTAAGACTGTCTGTTCAAGGTGCTTAAATGAGTACAGCATTCAAGAGCTTGGATTCGTTACAAATCGGCTACCTTGTAGGACGTATTTGCTGAAATGTGCCGTATCATGTTGCCCTAGGGCTCCCTTTTCACAAGCCACGACTGTCTAGTCTGATTGTGTTGCACGGGAATTGATAGCGCAATCTTCGTCCGTCTCTATCAGCAATAAGATGATGGGTATCCAGTCGTAAGTCACGCAGACACGTTTTCGTTGTTCAAGAGATACGAGTAGAGCCGTGACCTCTCCGCTCCCGAACCCGACTTCAGAAACCAGTTGCGGAACCGCACAGTCATCGCACGAAACTCTCCAGTGCCGGAAGCTATGTGCTGGCAAATTGGCCTTGCACATGGGCGAATTTCGATCTGACTCCTTATAAAGTAGCGGATGCGACAATCTAAAGCAAGCCATCGGAGTTTGCTGTTACTTTCAAGCGAAATTGATCATAAATAATCCATTGATGGAAAGGTCGGGGCCTCTCATAAGGTAATAAAAGCACTAGT